CAACACACAGCACAGCATCAGGGAGCAGCGATCCAACACACAGCACAGCATCAGGGAGCAGCGATCCAACACACAGCACAGCATCAGGGAGCAGCAATCCAACACACAGCACAGCATCGGGGAGCAGCGATCCAACACACAGCACAGCATCAGGGAGCAGCAATCCAACACACAGCACAGCATCGGGCCGCGGCTGCTGCCCGGGCATCCGAGCAGGCACGGTTGGATGTAAGCCTGTTACTGTGGTCTTGGATGACGCTGTTACATGTTACATGCTTTATTTATAAATTAGTGTGTGCTGTTACATGCAAAATGCTTTATGAGCTGGGAAGCGTTGCATGGTAAACGTTGAATTTGTAAATTGGCAGGTGCTGTTACACAGTGAGTGTTGTCTTTGTGAGCAGAGATGCACTGTTACACATTAAAAGCTTTATTTGTGAACTGGGGTACACGGTCATATGTTAGACATGTTATTGTGAGCTTGGATACACTGCTACATATTAACCATGTGTAACATGTGAGTGGAGATATGCTGTTGCATGTTAAACATTTTATTGGCATGTGTCGTTACATGTAGACTTTTATTTGTAGGCTGGAATACTTCATTACATGATAAATGCTTTACTTGTGAGCTGGGATACATGGGTACACATTGCATGTTTTATTTTTAAGTTGGGGTGCACTGTTACATGTTATATTTGTGAGCTGGGATATACCGATACACATGATTTATTTGTGAGCGGAGGGAGATGTGTTGCTAAATGGTAAACATTGTCATTTTAAATGGGCGTGTGCCGTTACCTGGTAGACCTTTTATTTGTAAGCTGGGATACATGGATACATGTCAGACATTTTAGTTGTGAGCGAGGTTACAATGTCACAAGTTACATGTTCATCTGTAAGCTGGGATGCATCATTACAATTAAACATTTTACTTGCAAGCTGGGTAAGTTGACACTAAAATAATGGTCGAGAGGACGGGACAGTGTGTGCATAAGCAGGTGCACTGGTCTTCCTAAGGACTCCCGGGACGCCTACACTGTAGTTATGCACACCCTGGGCTGCACAGGACCCACACAGGATGCCCCTGCCACATCTGGCTCCATCACTCTGCCTGTTCCCTCATCAGGGTTCCTCCACGAATTACTGCCTCAAGGGACCATGGGTAAAAATGCGGCCACACATTGCCCAAGTGGACCTTGTGTGATGGGTGACTGCATGTTTCTCCTCAGAAAGACGTACATCGGAGCTGCTTCCAGCGGTGACCCACGGCCGGCCAGATCCCCTCCTCTTGGCGTCTGTCACCAAACTTTCCCAAGTCAGCCTGGCTCCACGTGTGTCTACAGCCCTCCCCCCACATTTCTGAAGCACGGCCCCCTCTGCGCTGCTGGGCTGGAGCCAGGGCGGGCCTCCACTCACTCCGTCCCCTCACCCGGCCTCCCCTCTGTCTCACTGCCTGGCAGCTGACTCTCCTCCTCTCTCCTCCAACTCGGCCAGACATGCTTGCTTTCTGGTGGGCCTCCTCTCACGCACACACAGCCCTCTCCTCTCTCTTCCTCGGCCTCTCCCAGTACTGTCCCCGTCCTCACTTCCCCTCCTTCTGCTTGCACTGCAATATCAGGAACCGCAGACCATGCTTGGGGTGGGGGAGACAGGGCTGGTGTCTCCCCAGCCCTCTGTGCTGCGTGGCTCATCGTGGAGGAGGGGCTTGCTCTGCCCGACCCCCTGCCCCTGAGCTGGGAGTGGGGTCCTGGGAAGCACAGCTTGCTGCTGTCGGGGGAGGTGCCGCTCATTCCAGCCAGACTGGTGCGAGCCCTGCTCCCAGGCTGAAGGTGGGATTCGGACTCACCAGCTGGGGCTGAGACCTGGTGAAGCTGAGCTTCTCGAGGCCCCAAAGCCAAGGGCACCCTAAGCCTGCCCTCAGCAGAAAACTCTGACCACGCCGCGGGTTTGTGCACGTGCCAGGAAGCCCAAGGGTCACTCCCTATTTGGGTTCACTCCTTCCCCCAGCAGAAACCCTGCCGATTCTCTTTAAAAAAGGGCGCGAGATCTGTTCATAGACAACCTTGTTACAGTTTATTTCCTGTGATCGATCTTTGGAGCGTGAAAAGGAAGCTCTAGCTAGAGTTGCCGGGCCTCTGGTGTGAGTAGGACGGGGAGAACAAATAAATTACATTTACAGTCTTCAGTAAACAAATGAGGTTTCAGCCACTTGTAGGAGAAGCTTGCTTTTAAAAAAACATAAATATTTTACAAAAAAAAATTATGGTACAGTCTAAACATTAACAGCATTATCTGCTCAGCACTGTATCATTGGCCCAAACCACTCATCTGTTAGGGTGGTTTCCCTGAAGGGTGTCTCCCAGTCCTGCACTGGTCTTGGGACTACAGCTACAGTAACACACACACACACACACACACACACACACACACTCACACACAGATGCAGCCACATAGAACAACAACAACCACAAAAAGTCACTCTCAATAGAAGCAAGGGCAATTATTGAAATGAAAATTAAATGTGTCATTGAAACAAACCCAATGGATCTTTTCCACTCGGTATAGAAACGAGACCACAGACACGGGGGAGCCTCACTCCATACCAGACAGGCGGCGGGGAACCCCTACCTGGAGCAGGGCTGACCATCATTTCTTGCAGTGAGACTGTGCAACTTAGAGCCAACAGGGAATCAAGTGTGTGTCTGATACTGCGTGACTGATGGATTGGTGTGTACAGTGAGTGTGAATGTTGGCATTTCTTCAATATCATGTCTATATATACAGCAGATAGATAACAGAACACCACATTATATTAAAATCGCTGACAAGAGTATATATTAAGATTCCATTTATAAACTCTCCATCATTATTTATTCATTCTGCGACATCTCAGGGTGCGCTGGACCATGCCAACACACTGTCAGGAGGATTTACAGTTGGTAAGCATCTCCGGCTATAACCGTATCTATGCATCATGATACACTTACTATAAGATTGTTTCTTGACATGATCCTCCCCCCAGATGGCTTGACGCGCTTACAGTAAGTTACTGGTGAGTGAAGTGGAGCCCAATACTCAGTCAATAAATACTAACAACATGTTTATAACTGGAACCTTACTGAAACGTCTGCGCACACTGGGTAAGAACAGCTCCCTCCTCGTTTCAAAGTGTCAGGCAGGAGCGTCATGTCATGGCAGAATGTGTCTGCTTGTGAGGCGGCCGCGAGGCTCCCTGGGCTCAGAAGCCAGAAAAGAAGCCCAGGCGGAAATGCCAGTGCTCAGTGAGCACAGCAGACAGTGAGTGGCGGAGAACTATCTCAACGCCAGCCCAGCGGGACAGACCCGCCCACCGAGGGCGCTCGGTGTGACGTCCACTCACATGAAATTAGACTTCGCCGGCCCCCGCTTGTGCCTGTGTCACAAGGCACTGCTCCCTGGATTCAGCCACATCCCGGCACAATCAGAGGGTTTCATGGGAGGAGGAGAGGGGACGGCAGGAGGAGGGTGCTTGCTTACTTTCGTAATGATCTTTTTGTGTTCCAAGTGGATCACTGCAGTCGTATACCAATTGAGATCAGGTGATCCTCTAACGTGACTATTGTCTTCGGTCCCCTTTACTGGGGCATCACTTCCAGCGCAGGTGGACCCTGTTGTCTAATCGACTTCATAGGATTTCTGTGTTACCGCCCGCTGCTATAGCACTACAACTGAAGAATACCGAGAACTGGAAGCAACGACAGGTGGAATAATGTTCTTCCTGCTTAATTTATGACAATGGGATATGCACCACATTCCCTGCACCTCCATATACACATACATACAATAAGTCATTACACTTTATATGTAAACGTCATTCTTGTTAAACACACGAGAGGAAACCATGTGTGCCAAGCTCAGTGCTCACTGCATCGTCTCACACGGGGTCTGGCTGTCTTCTTGGGGTGGCATGGATGGTCCCATAGGGTCTCTTTCACGTGAACCCTCTGAAGGCCCTTGGACTCAAGTGGATGGAGGGAGGTGTGTAGCCACTCAGAGCTAAGGGCTGGGAGCAGGTAGTGCGACTGAGAGAGAGAAGCGGCAAGTTCCAGGATGAACTGAGGTGTGGGGACAGCATGTACAGTACGTGGTTGGAAATGCAGCAAAGCTTGATTAGACATCTGAAAAAAAGGGAGAGAGAGTGAATTAGCATGACCAAACTATGGGTTTTGTTTATTTAACTATAACTTAAAAATCATTATTTTAATTTAAACATAACATCTATTACGATATGGAGAGAGAGAGGGATGGATGGATGGATGGATGGATGGATGGATGGATGGATGGATGGATGGATGGATGGACTCATGGATGAATGGATGGGTGGATGGATGGATGGGTAGATGAATACATAGATGAATGGATGGATACATGGATGGATGGATGGATGGATGGATGGATGGATGGATGGATGGATAGATGGCTAGCTAGATAGGTGCATATCTGAGTGGATGGATGGCTAGATGAATGGATGGATGGGTTAATAGATGGGTGGAAGGGAGGGTGAGTAGGTAGATTATTGGATAAGTGTATGGATGTGTGGACGGATGGGGATAAATGGATGAATAGGATGGTAGGTGGATGGGCTGATGAATGGGTGGGTGGATGTATGTGTGGATAGTCACATAAATGGATAGGTTGGTGGATGTATAGATGGATAAACAGATGAATGGTTGGGTGCCTGGTTGGACAGGTAGATGGTTGAATAGATGGATTACTGAATGGATGAAAACACAAAATGTCTCAACAAGCTACCTAACATAGAAAAAGGGAAATACTGAATCTAAAAGAGAAGCCAAGATGCTATATTTCTTCCAACAATTTATTATCTGTGTGCTTGTCAATGTATGACCTTAAGATGCATCTATGGATTTTGCTCACATTGGACTGGTGCATTCCAAGTTCTCTCAGGTGTGGAGCGGTAAGACTAAGATATTATCTTGAGAAATAATTAAAGAGAAGGCCCTACCTCTTTTCCTCCTTACTTGTCTCCTCCCTTCCTTACCCCTCCCTTTCTTTTGCTCCATTTCCATTTTTCTCAAGGACAGAAATCTACATGTGAGATAGTTAAGGTTCATTGTGCCAGCCTGGCTGATAAACACATGTGGGGTTAATTGAAAGGCAGAGGGATAAATGGCTCTGTGAGCCTCGCCTTTCTAGTTCTTGAGTGTCCTACTTTGTGATGGTCACACCAGGGAGCAGCTGCCTTAGCCAGTTCCCTGCTTCAATTGGCAAGGCTGACTTCCTACAAGACATCCCTGAGGAGAAGCCACATGGACCTACCCCGATGCAGCCCTGGTTGCTGGAGCAGCCGTGTGGAGACCCCTGCCAGCGCTGTGATGCTTACATGCTCGCGGATTCACCTTTCCTCCTGCTTTTGATGCCATTGCGTGTGTTTTGTGCGATTGAGGAGGACTTTGTGGACTGGTGTTGGACATATG